TCCTTCGTCGCGGCGCTGTGACATATGTAGCCGACGAATTCGGCCTTCGGAGGACCCGACCTGCCGTTTTGGACACAGCCAAAGTCATTTTATGTTTTGAAAGCTACATGATGCTCTGTCCATTTTGATATTGAGTAGACCTATCACTAAATCAGAAAAAGTGAAATGCCTCTTTAAATTCACTGTTTGTGGTTATCAATATTGCACATGTTCATTAGGTAAAGTTATTAATATTAGTTTTAAACAGGCAGTTGAACGTCATCATTAGGCACAACGATGTGTTACAATTAAAAATAAACCAAGAATAAACAATATAAAAGTAAAAAGCACCCCTAAAGTCATTAGATATGATAAATTGTGTCACAGTAATTAACCTTATCTCAGCTGTTACAGTGAGTTTAAAACAGGATGATGGAAAAAAGTCACTGATGATGAAGAAATAAATAAACTAAATTAATATTTGGTTTCATTTTCTACTGAAGTGACAAAAAAATAAAACAGGATGATGGAACTWGATTAATGARTAATCTGCCTCTGAAATTTTATTAAATCAAGTTATTGATGTAGGTAAACGTATGTTAAACAACCTGGTAAAATTCACCCGAATGCTGGAAAGGGCATCTATTTCGTTCAAAATTTTCTGGGGGAGGACCCCCAGACCCCCCAACAGTGTGTCCCCACATTTTTTAAATGGTTCTGATGCCCATGTTTATAAGGTCATTGCCTGTTTAAGGACATAAAGAAATGACCAAAACACAAAGATCTGCAGAAACTTTCAAGTAAAAAAGTGATGTAATTTTCCTGGCCACCCCTGTGTGAGTAGTGATTCCCGTCTGGCCACCCCTGAGAAAAAAGTCTGGCTCCACCACTGTCCTTGTAGCCAGTCACTCAGGAAAGAAATAAATTTGCTCACACAGTTAAGCCCACACTCTTCCTTCCGGGGGGCTGGTCTTATTGCTGTAGTCTGTGTGGTGTTGACGTCAGGCGGGTCGATCCTGTTCCCAGCTCCCAGTGCGGCGGGTAAGCAGCACACAGACAGAAGCTGCTGAGTGAAAGCAGGCTGTCACAGAGGGTGGGAGGGGACTGGTGGAGGTGGGGGGCAGAACGAGAGGATAGTGTGAAACCACAGGACGCAGAGAGGCACGCACAAACAGCTACTATACAAAACATCAACATGAACCATTCTCCAATAYTGTTCCTAGATTGGCTCTCTGCATTGTAAGGTAGGGTGAAATGAAGGGTGTTTTTGTGCTGCATTTGTACATTTTGTTGTTTACTCTGTGTCGTGTGACTTCACTTGTGCAAACATGTCTGCATGTGTAGCTTTTGCTCATTTGTCGAGCCTCTCGCTTCCTAACGTGCTGTCTTCTTGCCTCACAGTGTCAGGAGATCCAAGCTGTAATCCATGTGACTCCACAAAGAGCTGCAGAGATTGGCTGAGGTCATCTGTGACCTCAGCATGCAGCCTCTGTCCCTCCTCACAAACACACATAATCCTCCCTCCCTTCTCTCTCTCTCTCTCTCTCTCTCTCTCTCTCTCTCTCTCTCTCTCTGTCTCTACCCTGCCTCTTTTCCCCCCTCCCCTTCAGCTGGCTCTTTCTCCACTGCTCAGCATCCTCAGCTGTGTAGGTTAGAGCCGCAGCAGCAGCATCCATGGCTTCAACCTGAGCTCACATCGACACCTAGCCTGGCCCCTGCCCCTCCTCCTTCCTGGCTTTCTTCTCTCTCTCCCTCATCCTTGCGGGCTGGTTGACAGGCGACGTCTGAGGGTTGGGGGTGTTGTGGGCTGGGGGGGCTCTCATTTAGCCTGGGCGTTAGCCACAAGCGCACAGCTGCTCTCCTGCCCATCAGATCTACTCTGTTCTCTGTAACCGGGGGGGGCCTTCTTCTCTTCTCCCCCCCTCCTCATACATCCTGCTTTCATTTCAGGCTCCTTGGAAATAGAGGAATGCAAATCTGCAACCATGATGGAAGGTAAGATTTTTTTATATTATTTTATCCTCCCTAAATAAGAGCATCCTTTTCTCATGTCCTTGTGTTTCATGCTGACAACCGTGGACATGAATGTGTGTGTGTGTGTGTGTG